AGAAACATCAATCAGCTGCCTCCTGCATACTCCACAGTGGGGATGTGCCTGCAACCAACGTACATGCCCTTGACTGGAATCGAACCTGGGACCCTTCAGTCCACAGGCTGATGCTCTATCCATTGAGCCAAACCAGTGGATAATTCTGATGATCTTAAATCTAACTATTTAGATGCTCCTCTCCAGAATTTTTATTTAGAACTTAAATCTGAAAGCAACAAATGGTGAGAAGACAAGCTAATATTTGATCTATTTGCTGAAGAAATTGACAAAAAGGTCCCAGACACATTGCAAGAACATTAATCACCAAAGAAAGGTTAAATTTCTTACTTACTTAGTTGAGCATATTAACCCATTGTACAAAGATTGTAGTTAATAAGAGTCAAAACCCCCATCCCAGAGACAACCACTGTCATGTAAACATGCCAGACTTGTTATCCTAACTGGGGTTTACAGGACTTCTGAATCTGGGGCTTGGTATTCTTCATCAGGTGAGAGGATTCTCAGCCACAACCCTCTCCTCTCCCTTCAGGGTGCCAATTACACATCTGTTAGCCCCTCCGCTGCTGTCCATGTCCCACACTCTTTTCTGTGTAACCCACCCTTTTCCTCTCTGTGATTTACCCTGGATATTTTCTCATGTCTCATTTTCCAGTTTCCCAAAGCTTTCTTCTGTTGTGGTAAACCTGCTGTTCAATATACCTGCTTAGGTTTATCTTCATTTATTTAGCTTTACATTTTAATTATTGTATTCTTTAGTTCTAGAATTTGATTTATTTTTTATAGTGTCTAGTCCTCTAGTGGAATTCCCCATATTGTTCACTCATTATGTTTATTGTAAAAGTTTATCTCTGATCTTCCCATACCGATATCTTCCATGGGTCTCTTTTTATTATTTTTTTCCTTTTATTTATTTACTAGAGGTCCAGCGCATGAAATTTGTGCAATTGGGGCTGTGTGTCTCCACTCGGCCTGCACCCTCTCACAGTCCAGGACCCCTCAAAGGATGTCCAACTGCCGGCGTAGGTCTGATCCCCCTCTTGTAATCCAGGATCCCTCGCTCCTTACCACTTGGCTCGAGGCTCCTTAGTGCTGCTGCAGAGGCAGGAGAGGCTCCGGCCATTGCCGTTGCACTCGCCAGCCATGAACCTGGCTTCTGGCTGAGAGGCACTCCCCCTGTGGGAGCGCAATGACCACCAGGGGGCAGCTCCTGCATTGAGCATCTGCCCCCTGGTGGTCAGTGCGCATCACTGCAACTGGTTGTTCTGGTCCTTCGGCGGAATGGTCGCTTAGACTTTTATTATGTAGATTTTTATTGTTGAATGTTCATTAATTGAACATCAAGCTTTAACTGAGTTAAAAAATCAGTTCTTTAGGGTTTTGGCTGTAAAATGAGCCCTTTCATTCTCTGCCCTATGCACCCGTGTTTTCTGCCTCTGTTTTCCTGGGAAGGAGAGGGACAGAGCATGGCCTCTGCCCTGCTGAGCCCTCTCCCTATTTTTTCCTGTTGAGTTCTGGTCATGCCGCCATGCCTCTTGGTATGCTTGGTAACTTTTGCGCATGATGACTTGAAGAAATACTTTGATGCTCAGAGCTGTGTGAATTTGGGCAAGTAACAACCTCTCTGAGCCTGCGTTTTCCTGAAACTGGAAAAAATAACACCCACTTTTGGGGTTGTTATTAGACATCATATGTCAAGTCCCTAAAACAATGCCTAACAAAGAAGAAGTAAATTCATAGCAGGAGGTAGACGTACACAGCTCCCCGAATCATACAAATAAGGTTAATACTTAGATGTACTGCAAGAGTGAGGTAAGTTTCTTGAATAATATGTTAATTTATAACTTCAGATTCTTCACCCTGGTTTTCACAGTGACTTGAATTTCTGCTGCAAGTGTGAAGGGAAATGGCATGTAACAGCTCTCCGGACAAAGCAGAGCTAAATAAAGTGCGTCAGCATGTAGGGGGCTAATTATGGTCCTGAAAGGGGAGACGAGACGGCTATTTTTATACCTTGCGCACAGACACCCTGTAGATGCAGGGATCCAGGATGCCCGTGGCGGCGCTGGCGCTCATTTTGCACATAAATGAGAACTTCTTCCTCCAGTGAACACAGTTCGCTTGCACCACCTCCCTGAGGGGGGAAAAAAAGAACCAGTTAATGAACTATTATCAATGGCATGACAAAAAGGCACACACACCTGCCACCCAAGTCTGCAATGCAAAAGCGCGATGTTAAATGCCAGTATTTGGAAACAGCCACGAAGCAAACAAATTCCTAACAATAGGATCCGAAAAATCTTTGAAGGTCTTAGTTATCCACAGACACTGAAAAAAGGTGAGTTCACTTATCAATTCAATCTCTAAGTTGGAGCTCCACTATTCATTCATTCATTCAACATACAAGGAATCAGTGTCATGCCCGGGCCACTGAGGCCCAGGCCCAGTTACCAAGTCTTGCCTCCGCTACTTCACAACTATTCCTGCGTGAACCCCTTTCCTGTGTCTGACCACCACCCCAAGCCAGTCCCTCACAGATCCTCTCTGACACACGGCAACAGCCTCTTAAATGGTCCTCGCTCAAACCTACCTTCCCCGCTGCTACCGGAGAACGCCTTCCCGTCTAAAATCCTTCACTGCTTCCCCATATCTGAGAGGATCTGGTCCAAGCCCCTGCCCATCTTTAGTCTCATCTCTCCACCCTTCCTGTCTCATCTGGTCGTTCAGTCCCTCAACAGATCATTTCTGTCACACTATTTCTCATTTGCATACCTTTGTTCATAATGTGTTCTCTCCCATTCCACTTCCCTTATTTACCAGTTTAGCTTTTTTTTTTTTTAAAGCCCTCAGATATTGTTTTATTTATGACTAGTTCTTTTTTATGGTTTCTACATCCATTTTGTTTTGTTTTGTTAATCCTCACCTGAGGATATTTTCCCATTGATTTTCAGAGAGAGTGGAAGAGAGAGGGAAAGACAGAGAAAAACATTGATGTGAGAGAAACACATTGATTGGCTGCCTCCTGCACACGCCCTGACCAACCTAGGTACCTGCCCTTGACCGAAATTGAACCCAGAACCCTTCGGTCTGTAGGCTGATGCTCTATCCACTGAGCCAAACTGGCTAGGACCACCAATTTAGCTTTAACTCCTTTAGTTTAGTCATTACCTCCTCTAAGAATCTTTCCCAACTCAGCCTGCAGGTGAAGGCCTAGTGTCCCATATGAGCGATGACCTGGGCGGCCTAGATTCCTTGAATTCCTCAGTGTCTGCCACTCCCCATCCTAAAACATGGTCACCCAGGGAGAGTTGGCAAGACCCGGCTGAATTGGCTTCCCCATCGTTCCCTAAGTCCTCATTCCTCAGGACGACCTAATTTCCTTTTCCCTGCCTTGTTTGTGGCAGATTCTCCTGTAATTACACACAATGTATTTCAAATTAACCAATACTGTAAGTGAATTTTGTTGATGATGGCCTTCATTAACAGGAACTTAAGTAGAAATAGACATATTAACTTAAATAATCTTCTAGATTTTGTAAAATCAAAATAATAGCTTCGGAATATTAAACAGTATCTCTAAATAAATAAATTTTTCTGTGCCTTTTTGTGATAAAAATCTTTAACACACACACAGAGCTATTAGAAAGCTGTCCAAAATACACACACAAACAAAAAAAAGTGGCAGTTAGTTCTTGACAATTTGTCATACTGATGGGTTACCATGGAAACAAACTCGGACTTCTTGGCAACTGAGACAAAAGTCACATTAGTAAATGCTTTCCGTTACATGAGTCATCAAGTTCCTATGAGCTTTATACGGTTGCTTAACCACTTTCAAGAAACAAAGCAACAGAATAGGATTTGTGTTGATATTGTGGAAAGCTAAGTATTTCTAAGATAAAATGACAAAGATGCGGATTGTGAAATACATAAGCAGAGGAATTAAAAGTAGCAAAATGTTGCTATGGTTATTGTTTATGCTTCAAAGGAGCAAAGGAAAATCTAAAAGGTCTTTAGAAAATAAAAGTAACATAAAATAAAATAAAAATTATGGATCTATTTTTGTGACGACTTAGTTACTGTATGAGCAAACTGCAATACTTGGTAGAATAAGAATAACTTGCTTATGTATACGCGAGGCATATATCTAAAATTATGCCATGTCTTGGTAATTTGAAGTATTTTTTAAATGTATCTTTATTGTTGAAAGTATTCCAGATGTCCCCTTTTATCCCTCCACTGACTCCCTCCACCTCACCCCCACCCACTCCCCAGACCTTCACCGCACTATTGTCTGTGTCCGTGGTCATGCATATATGCATGTAAATTCTTTGGTCACTCTCTTCTGGGGGGCGGGTTGGCCTTCTTTCTGAGATTCATCAGTCTGTTGCCTATTTTTAACTTTTTAGAAATGATAAAAAACACTGCTATGAGGAATGCAAGCTGTTCTGCCAGACATTACTGCCGGAGGTTAAGAGCTTGTATCCGGAGCCAGTCGTTTGGGTTCAAATCGTGCCTCCGCTATGCGGCAGCTGTCCACGGCGCACGTTCCCTAACCTCTGAACTTCCGCTTCCTCCTCTGTGAGACGGGGAAGGTGACAGCACCTAGGCTCGTGTGGATTTCGGAAAGTCAAGTGACTTATTATACCTGGTCTGGTGTCTGGAACAGCGCCTGGCTTACAGTGGGTCTCCACAGTAAATGTTAGCAGTTGTTATTATCAAGGACCTAAGCAGTTCTAAGTCCACTTACATTTGTCCTCCAGGGAGAAATAATGGTTACATTTACAAGTACAGAATTTGCTTCTTCATTCATTTATTTTACGAAAGATATAAAGTCCTGAGAAAACAAACCTTCAGGAAAGGAGGCAAGACCAAATATTCTAAGACTCTAAGGATAAATCAGATCTAAACAGCGTGCTCTTAATGACAGTACTGAGGATAAATGGATCTCACACCCCAGGGGCGCTTCTGGCTGGAGGAACCGGGTGAACAGGTATCAGTCAATGGGAACATCTGAACCCAGGCAGCGTTCCTCTCCTTCATGCATCCTGCTGGTGGTGGTAGCGAGGGAAACAGCCCAGCTCTGGACGCTTTCCGGCTAAGGAGTCTGAGAAATCTTTATTTATTTTTTAAATGTATCTGCGCCTCCCGTTAGGATACACAGAGACCTAGCGCTCAAAGCGCGGGGCTGCAGACACAAGCGGAAGCCCTCAGCACGTGCCTGGAGGCCGTGGGGATGGACGGGGCCATTCAGGGAGATGTGAGCAAGCAGGGAGGGAGGCAGGCCGAGTCGAACACCCGAAGGTGCACGAGTGGAAAGAGGCAGGCACAGGAGACCCACAGCAACAGAGAGAGAAGCAAGGAGTTCATGTTACCATGGAAACCAAACCAGGGAAAAGCCTGCAGAGAGGAATTGCTCAACAACCTGGAATGCGGCAGAGAGGTCAGGTAAGATAAAGGCAGAAAAGAAGCGACCAGGCGGTCACTGGTAGCGGTGACAAGTGCCGTTTCCGTGAAAAGGTGGGGGTGGCAGGCAGGTAACTATGGGAAGTGGAGACTGGGAACACAGACAGTTGTTTTCAAACATTTTAGTAATAAAGGGAGAAAGTGAGGGTGGCGGCCGGGGGGGCATGCGGTGGAGGGAGGATCTCATTTTAACATGCCTTAGTGCTGCCAGGAAGGAACCCGGGAGGAGAAAAAGCCCCAGCTCTGACAGGGTGTGCATGCAGGCGCCAGAGGGGACCCTCCCCGAGAATGTCAGCGGGGAAGGCATGCAGACGACAGGTGGGCGCTGGCCTAGACCGGAGAAGGGGCTCCTCTGGAGGATAGACAGGCTCGAACACGGGCAAGTTTGTCAACAGACCACTGTTCACTGCCTACATCGCTTTTTTTGTTGTTTTAAAAAAATGTTTTTATTGATTTTAGAGAAGGAGGGAGAGAGAAACATCCATGATGAGAGAGAATCATGGATTGGCTGCCTCCTACACGCCCCTCACTGGGGATCAAGCCTGCAACCGGGACTCTCCAGTCTGCAGGATGACGCTCTAGCCACTGAGCCAGACCAGCTAGGCTTTTATGAAATGTTTTGTAGTCGGCTACGAATTGGTAAACATATGTTGCTGAATCTATAAAATGGTAGAAAAACTTACTTCAAAGGGTCGTTGGAAAATGAAATATTTAAAGCACTGTGTAAACCGACAGGGTGCTATGAATCAACACTTCTCCCCAAAGCTTTTCCTATGATACATTTCCTGAGTCATGGGGCATAATAATTCCCTTGTTCCCATAAAATCCTGGGACATTTTCTTTCTTTCATCTGTTTGTTAATCCACACCCACGGGTCTTTTTTCCATTAATTTTTAGAGGGCAAAAGGGGGGGAGGGGGCGGGAGAGAGAGAGAAGCATCGACGTAAGAGAGGCACATTGCTCGGTTGCCCCCCACATGAGCCCCAACTGGGGCCAGGGATGGAACCTGCACCCCAGTAGCTGCCCTTGATTGGGAATGGGACCCTCAGCCCTTTGGTGCATGGGCCGACCCTCTAACCACTGAGCTACACGGGCCCAGGCCTGGGTCATTTCCTACGTATACCTGGAGTTGCCTTGTAACTGAAGGACACTGAGAGCAAGAGAAAGGGGCTGGCATGCGGGTTCACTGTGTGCTCGGGGGCACTCCTCCTCTGGTATTTGACCGGGGCAGTCACTGGAAGGGATCGGAGGACGGGTCCTGTACAGGGACGAGAAGTCGTCACTTCCAGGGGATAGGGCCAGGCTGCCAGGACCTATTTGGAGACACAGATGAGGAGGGAGGACTGCAGAATGCTCATATTCCTGAGATGGGGAGTGAAATGAGTGGAACATGGCAAAATAGCACGAGAATCTTATTACTCGCTGCCTGGTGAAGGCTCGAGGCAGGCTTCTCGGTTATTATCCTTAAAGTAATCGTAATGACAGGACCATGAGGAAATAGCGTGCAAATGGAGTGAATTAAGCCAAAGGCTCAGCACCAGTCTGCTGTGCAGGCAGGCCCAGGAACAGCCTGGAAGGGGCGGGCGCAGCGGCGAAAGCGTGAGATCACAGGGGCTGGATTTCAGGGCCGCACTGAGCATCCGCCACGCTGGGGCGGGTGCTGAGGGGCGCAGGTCTGCGGGGCGCTGTGCTGACCTGGAGCAGTCGGTG